TTGATTTTTAAATAGTTTGTTACAGTATCTTTCCAGATATCAAAGATGGGCTGATTGATCTATAATTCACCCAGCTGCTCTTTTGTTACTCAAATATAGTCTCTGAGGGGCAGCTGTGTTAGTCTCTAACTTTAAAAATAATGAGTAGTCCTGTGGCACCTTAGAGATGAAGAAAAATATATAGTATCATGAGCTTTCATGGGCAAAACCTACTTCATCAGATAAACAGGTTCTAAATATAGGTTCTGTGTCGGTACTCCTCCTCTCTTCTGAGACCTCAGCTGTCCATCAGCAATTCTTGAAGAAGATAATCACTAATGCTTCATCTAGTTCCTCAACTACAATAAAGACAATTTCATCAGGCCTTGCCAACCTTTTTTGAACCCTGTTCTTTCCTTCTCCCGGGCTTATTATCCTTCTGCCTTGGTGCTAAATTAATTGTGTTAAGCATCTGGTCATAATTAACAATTTTAGTAAAAGCGTTAGTAAGGCATCAAATACTTCCATTGTCAGGATGTCATCCATTTTCCCCACTGAATAGTGGACCAACGCTTTTTCTCTTTTTCCTGTTGTATTCATAGAACCTCTTCTTACTGGCTTGTGTCCCTTACCATGTCTAACCCATTTTATGCCTTAACCTTCATGCTTTGTGCTGTTCTTTTCTATCCATGCTTAGTAATTTATCAATGTTTCCAATTTTTGTTGGATTCCTTCAATTAAAAATTTCCTAATGCAGCCATATTGACCTTTTATTATTCTGCCTTTCCTGTCCAAGTATTGCTGATCTCTGAATTTTAATTATAAAAGTGATGCATAAAGCAACTGGGCCAATATGTTATCAGAGATTTTCAACTGTTATCTTAGTATTATATCACGTTTTCGTGTTTCATAGTTTCCAGTTCTGTCATGTCCTCTCCCTTTCCATTTTCAAATAATTAGTAATGATCAATTTAGCCTTATGCTTCATAGGCCTGGATTACTTTGGAAATGAGTATCTTGAAGAAAACATAGCTCATCCGTGTACACCAGAGCTCGAATAGTCCCAATTTGCTGCATTTTTATAGCTATCGCTAAGATCCATAAACTTTGCTGCCTTATACAATACTATGTTTAGATGGTGTGGCGTGAGATTAATTTTTCTGTACGGTCGCTGGATAATATGTATTTGACACACACAGTGGCTTTGTTTTAGAAAGGAGGGAAAGGGGAAAAATTATAAATTCCTGCTAGTTTCCAAGCTTTCCTCTGACTGATGAATGCTGATTTTTGAAGTGTTTAAGAGAAATGTGTATTCTTCTATTTGTAAACATTTATCTGGACCAGTGATTCCACTTCACACGGTGGTAGTGCTTTCATTTTACTGTTCAGGTAAACTTCTGAGTGAATTGCACCACAAGCGACTATCTACTTTCATAAGTTTAGGTAGTGCATTTGATGGAGAAAATACTCTTAATAATTTTGAAGTGATAAATATAATGGGCTCAATAGATGCATAGATGTTATCTCTTCTGCTCTAAATATGCCCCAAACTTGTCTCTTTCTTACTTCCTAAAATTTGTGAAATATTTTCTTTATTTCAATGTACAAAAGATTAATTCCATCTGTAATAGGTAAAATTTAATATTCACACTCTGCTCTTGACATCTAATATATAAAGGAGAATGTTTGTATGTTTGTGCTCTAATAACTTGCACACTATAAGACCTACAGCAACCAAACTTTCCAAGGGATAACCTTTCCTCTAGGAGAAGGTTTTAAGGTATTGTGGGAGGGAAAAGATGAGAGACCGATGCCTCTCCCCGGGGCTGCACGAAGCATGGCAGTGCGAGGAGAAGCGGCTTCTCTGCCATTGTTGGAGAATACTGCGATTGGCTTGGGTCCCTGCGGCTGACCAATGGGTGGGTGGGTTGCTGCCGGGGCTTGCTCTAGGTGGAGGGGGCGGGGCTGCTGTTACGGCTCAGCTGTCACTTTGAAAACATGTCCTGGAAGGGGTGCATCGGGGACCCGGACTGTTGGGGGTGAGTGGGGGGTAGGGCAGGATTGGGG